CATGATCCTGGAGTCCCGGGATCGAGTCCCGCATCGGGCTCCCTGCTCAGCAGGGAGTCTGCTTCTCCCTCTGACCATCTCCCCTCTCATGCTCTCTCTCTCTCATTCTCTCTCTCAAATAAATAAATAAAATCTTAAAAAAAAAAAATATCTAGGTCATGTCTCCCATTTTTAGTTGGATTATTTGTTTTTGTGTGTTGAGTTGTAGAAGTTCTTTCTCTATTTTGGATACTAATCCTTTATCAAATATGTCATTTGCAAATATTTTCCCTTATTCTGTCTTTTAGTTTGTCTTTTTAGTTTGTTAATGATTTCCTTTGCTGTGCGGAAGCTTTTTATTTTGGTGGAGTCCCAATAATTTATTTTTGCTTTTGTTTCCCTTGCCTCAGGAGACCTATCTAGAAAAAATGTTGCTACGGCCGATGTCAGAGACGTTACTGCCTGTGCTCTTTCTTAGGATTTTTATGGTGTCAGCTCTTACATTTAGGTCCTTAATTCATTTTGAACTTATTTTTGTATATGGTAAGAAAGTGGTCCAGTTTTATTCTTTTGCATGTAGCTGTTCAGTTTTCCCAACACTTGTTTGTTGAAGAGACTTTTTCCCATTGCATATTCTTGCCTCCTTTGTCGAAGATTGACTATATAATCATGAGTTTATTTCCAGGCTCTTTATTCTGTTCTGTTGATCTATGTCTGTTTTTGTGTCAGTACCATACTGTTTTGATTACTACAGCTTTTTAGTATATCTTGAAATCTAAGATCCATATCTTGAAACCCTTCATCCCCTACCTTTTTTGCTATAATCATGATCTCTTTCATGATTTCTTTGATTGGCTGTTTTGTAAATCCTGTGAGGTCATACACATCTGGACACAGTTTTCTCCAGCAGGAATTATTGTTTTGGGTTTGATGGCTCTTTCTGTAACAACTATGGCATTGTTAAAGTATGTACTACCATTAATTTTATGCAATTATTATTTAATACTGCATCTTTATGTTTGTTTACATTTCTTTCAGCTGCGAATGGCACCATGTACAGTCTGTGTGTAAACTCTGATAAATTTTAACTTTTTGTAGTTTGTGTGTATTTTATGGTAGCAAATGATAAAATAGTATCTACATATATTTTATGCATTCATGAAATATCTTTTTCTTAATATTTTAAAATATTTCTAGGCTATGCAATTTGACTGAGTTTTTTCAAATTGTTGCAAATCTTAAAAAATTTTCCAATGTATTTATTTTTAAAAATTCACATATGGGGCGCCTGGTGGCTCAGTCAGTTAAGCGTTGCCTTGGGCTCAGGTCATGATCCCAGGGTCCTGGGATCGAGCCCCACATTGGGCTCCCTACTCAGCAGGGAGCCTGCTTCTCCCTCTCCTCCCTGCTTGTGCTCTCTCTTGCTGTCTCTCTCTTTCAAATAAATAAATAAAATCTTTTTTAAAAAAAATCCACATATAAGTGGACCTGCACAGTTCAAACCTATATTGTTCACGGATTAACTGTATATGCCAAATTTTTTTTATCCATTTGTCCATTACTGGACATTTAGGTTGCTTCCATGTCTTGGCTATTGTGAATATTACTGCAGTGAACATGGGCACACGGATATCTCTTCAAGATCTTAATTTCATTTCCTTTGGGTATATATCCAAAAGTGGGATTGCTGGATCATATGGTAGTTTCATTCTTCAGTTTCTGAGGAGACTTCATACTCTTTTCCATAGTGGCTATAGCAATTTAAATTCCTACCTACAGTGTACAAGGGTTCCCTTTTCTCTACATCCTCTGTACATAACTTGCTCTGGTTTTTTGGATAATAGCCATCTTAAGAGGTGTGAGGTGAATCTTACTATGATTTTGATCATGTAGCTCATCATGTTTTTTAAGTGTGCTATAATCCCATGGTCTATTTTTGCTTTTGTTGCCTGTGTTTTTGGTGTCATATATGGGAAATCATTGCCAAGACCAATATCAGGAAGCTTTTTCCCTGTTTTTTTTCTGGGAGTTTTATGGTTTGGGTTCTTTTTTTTTTTTTTTTTAGTTTTCTTTATTTAAGTAATCTCCACACCCAACATGGGGCTCGAACTCATGACCCCAAAATCAATTGTCACATCCTCCTCAACTGAGCCATCAAGGCGCCCCCTATACTTTTGGTTCTTATGTTTAAGTCTTTAATCCATTTTGATTTTTTGTTTATGGTGTGAGTCCAATTTCATTTTTTTGCTTGTGGATATCCAGTTTTCCCAGCACCATTTATTCAGGATACTGTCCTTTCCCCATTGTTTTTTCTTGGTACCCTTGTTAGAGATCAGCTGACCGTATCTGCATGGATTTATTTCTGAGCTCTGTTCTCTTCTCTTGGTCTCTATGTCTTTTTTTATGCCAGTACCATACTGTTTTGATTACTCTAGCTTTATAAAGTATTTTGAAGTCAGGAAGTGTGATGCCCCCAGCTTTGTTCTTCTTATTCAAAATTTCTTTGACTATTTGGAATCTTACGGAATCTGTGTTTCCATACAAATTTTAGGATTGTTTGTTCCAGCACTTTGAAAAATGTCATTGGAGTTTTGATTGGGACTGTACTGAATCTGTAGATGGCTTTGGGTAGTATAGACATTATAAGAATATTAATTCTCCAGTCCATGAATGTGGGTATCTTTCCATTTAGTTGTGTCTGGTTTAATTTTTTATTGGTGTTTTATAGTTTTCAGTGTACAAGTCTTTCACCTCCTTGGTTAAGTTTATTCCTAAATATCTTATTCTTTTTGATACTATTGTAAATGGGATTATTTTCTTAATTTAATTTTAAAATTTAAAATGTTTTGAGTTATGTAAATATTACATTTGTTACATAATAACTGTATAACTAATGTTATATGATAAGTATAGTACATATTATTATAGTTATATATTGTAGTTAGGTGTTGTATAAAAAATTACCTCATTTGATCTTTTTATATAATAATTACCATATTATAGTTTTATATTATTATAGTTATGTATTATTATAATATCATATATTATTTCATTTGATCTTTGCAACCATAGAGTAAAGTATTCAAGATAAACATCATTTGATGGAATTTGTTTGTTTTAGTAATATACATGTTAACTTTGGTGACCTAACTTAGAAGTTTCTAAATAATGTAATTTCCTAGGCTAAAGCAGTAATTGTAAAACAATATGCCTTTAGAATGAAGGTTGATGTCATTTTGTTTCATTTGAGGTTTTTTTTGTCATATGACCAAAAATAAGACTATTTTTATATCTTAGCAGTGCTAATTTTATACCTCTAGTTTAGTCCAGTGTTTCTCAAATGAAAGCTCTTGCTAAACACCAGGAAGGTCATTTATAGATACATAAGTTATAAAACTCCAGGCAAATAATAGATGGCAGAATTGGTAAAAGTAGGTCATACGAATTAGTAATTCAGCCTCTCCACCTTCTGAACCCTGTCCTTCCATTTTCTTCTTTCTTTTATAGTAAAATCTGTGGTCATGCCAAGAAGGATGGAGGGGAAAAGTAAAGAGTTGGGATAGTTTTTGTTTGCTAAAATAATGATAGAAATAGAGACTTGGTGGATTCATGAGAGAAAATTATTTTTGAAATCTGTGGTTTAACCACAAACCTAAATAAAACAGAATTGTCTATTAATAAAAATGGTGAAGAGTTTTTAATATAATTTAAAAAATATTACTGATATTTGAAATGATCAGAGGGCACCAGAGTAAATATTTGTATCAGTCTGAGGTAGAGAATAGGATTGCATTTTACCTTAAAACCCCTTAGCCAGGTAGCTCCGTAATCCATAATCCATATTTTGTCCTTTTTTCCCTCTTACAGCATCATCACCAAGCAAGAGTTCAATATATGGCAGTTTTTCCGATGGTATAACATGTTTTCTTTTCTTTTAGTTGTGCTTACTTTCTTCTCTTAACTTTGTGCCTAAGTTTCACTAGTTCCATTAAACAATTTGGGTCAAATACTTTAAGGCTTTCTCACAAAACAAATGTATTAAGAGTATGCTTTATACTAGACCCCATGGCATGCTGTGAATAATTATGAAAGAAATAACTCTTAAGTCTCAAGGAGCTGTCAGTCTAATGGGCACTTAGATCTTTTACCTTTTCTTCTATTTCTGGCTGATTTCTGCCTTATATTCTCTTGGTGGAATTTGTATTTTCTTTCTCTGTTGGAAATACTTAAATTATGAACCATAAATTGATAGTCTTTATTACTCCTATCATTAGATGACAGCAGTCAGAAATCAGAGCTTGGAAACTGGTCTCCATCAACCTCCAGCCAACGTAAGTTTGTCCAGTTTTTATTAAGTGAGTTTCTAAAATTGGTCATTCATAATTGTTTTAAATTTTTTTGACCACAAATAAACAATGCTATTTGAAAAATTGTATTTTAAGCACTTAAGAGGAAAAAGTATATATTTTACTAGCAGTGAAATTCTTTAAGGACAAACTGTATGAAACAACATCTGGTTTTCCCCTTCACTTAATTAGCCATAAGACCAAAAGTAAAAGTTAATAAGCAGAACTACTAATACCAATAACCAGGTGAACCTTGCTGAGTCAAAAGAAGGATGGCACATAGCATGATGTAATATGTTTACTGTGGGTTTTAGAGTCCACAGACCTGTATTTAGATTAGATTGGACCACGTAACCTTCTGTTACAGCCTTGCAGCAAGCTTTTTTAATTCTCTAAGCCTGTTTATTATCCCAAATGAGTACTAAGAAAACAACTTCACAGTAACTCTCACTTTGGTCTCAATACCACTTTCTACTAGCAAAATTAGTACCTAAAAGAGCATTGTTGTTGTTTTTTTTAATATGGGCTATACCTATCCATGTTTACCTAGAAATTAAAATTGAAACATTTTAAAAATACCTATTTATTTTTTAAAAATTTAGTAAGAATAGTGACAAATTGCTTAAATTTTCTAGTCTCTTTAATGTCTGGCTTAATAAAATAGAGCTGGATTCTCATCTGCTTCTGTATTCAATCTGTTACAATATATTGTTTTGGTTGTAGTATATACAAAAATCCAGCTTTATACAGATAAGATAGATTTTTTTAATAGTCTAAAGATAATTTTGGATATTCTCTTTTGATACTGTCCAAAACTCAACAAGTTACTTAAAATGTGAGATCTGAAACCAAATTAATGAACTTTTTTGTTCTATTACATTCAAATCCATTGGTCTTTCTTGTACTTTGAATGGAATATCATGCACTGATCATTTGGAAAATAAAGGTTCACTAAGTTATGTAGATCTTCCAAATTTTGACACATTTCTAATACAGTATAAAAAGATCACATTTGTTAATATCACCACTAATCTCAAGACAAAAAGTCTTTAAGGATTCAGGAGCTGTCAAGCTTATAGTGGCAGATACAGTATTTCCACAATCCTAATTTTCACTTTAAACCATGAATTTTATAATTGGCAACAAATATTGTCAGTTGTTTTCCTAGAAACACAGACTCACTTTGTTCATTTTCAAGAAAATGTCTGCCAAATACTCAAGTCTAACCATAGTTTGTCACTTGTTCTTAAAAGTACTAGTTCAGCTCAACTGAGTTGCACAAAATTCCTTTCCTTGAGAAAACTGTACTGTGCTAGGTATCAGAAGTGCTTTATGTATATTTCTCAGTTCTTCATATACTCTATTGGATTTGTACTCAAGGGTTGAATTTTAATAAGGTGAATAATTTTAACTGCTTTATGCAACAGTTTCACTAGTAGCCTTAAATGCATGGCTGTGAATACAAAGACTACATTAGCACTGCCCTGTGGTCCATGCTAAGGTATCATTTATTTTTCCCACTGTGGCTTTGCACCATCAATGCAAATGTCAACATGCTGGGAAAAGTTAGATAACATCCTAGTGTTAAGAGACTAGCTTTAACCTCAAGGACCCTCTTGGACGGATCCTGAGGTACCCAGCAATTACACTTTGAGAACTATTGCTCTAAAAGGTCCATAGTACAAATAAAATAGAAGGTGTAAAAGTATTATTGTTGCTATCCTATTAAATGAAGTGGTATGTGACAACGTGCTTATAAACTGAAAAGCACTAGGTAAATGTAAATTGGTATCATTATTGCCAATAATAATTAGGGATGAAATGCATACTCAATTTTACTGGTATTAACTTGCATTCCACAAAAGGTGGGCATCAGTGCAATTAAAGGGACAGCTAGCTATTATAATATATGGAAGATGTTCAACTTACAGTGCATCCTTTTTCAATCCCTTTACATACTTCAGAAACATTCCACCTTGGATAATAAGCTGTATGAATTCTGAGTGTCTAAATTTAAAAATATTTTATCAAGTGACTTTTATTATTGTTTGCCTCCCAAATATTAACAGTAGTAATAATAGTTTTGCTTTATAAATTATATTATTTCTGACTTGCTTATGCCACTTCGTATCTTTGAATTCTACTTTTTGCTCTAAGGCTTTTTATCATTTTGACATTGAAGAGACACATGCATACTTATAATACACCTAAAACCTATGGGTGTGAGATTTTCTTAAATACATGTGATGAACATTTCTTTAAGAAAGTAAATTACCAGCTCCATTCTTTAAATTCCTTCCTCTTTTATCTAATGTTTGTGAAGATTAATACTGATTTTAAAAGTCACTTGTCCTTGAATCTAAGAAAATGGTATTTGAATCTGTCTTTTTTTTTTTTTTTTTGTCCTGAGCAGAAGTGACTGGACAACCCAAAAGTGCATCTTTTATCAAGATGTGGTGGTGGCTATCTATTCTCATAGTTTCATTGGCTGTTGGGAGTTTTTTGTTCCCTCGTAATCCTGAGGTAGAAACCACTGCTGTTCAAGAGTTCCAGAACCAGATGAGACAACTAATGACTAAGTATCAAGGTCAAGATGAGAAGCTGTGGAAAAGGAGCCTTACATTCCTGGAAAAACATCTTAATAGCTCCCAACCTCGGCCTCAGCCTGCTATCTTGCTGCTCGCCGCTGCTCGGGATGCTGAAGAAGTGCTCAGGTGTCTGAGTGAACAAATTGCTGACGCCTACTCTTCTTTCCGGAGCGTCCGTGCCATCCGGATTGATGGGGCGGGCAAAGCTACTCAAGACAGCGATATTGTCAAACAAGAGGTAGATTGGGAACTGAGCAATGGATTCAAGAATGGCCAGAATGCTGCTGTGGTACACCGCTTTGAGTCCCTGCCTGCAGGCTCTACTTTGATCTTCTATAAATATTGTGACCATGAAAATGCAGCCTTCAAAGACGTAGCCTTAGTCCTGACTGTCTTGTTGGAGGAAGAGACACTGGGAACCAGTCTAGGCCTAAAGGAAATTGAAGAAAAAGTGAGAGATTTCCTCAAAGTCAAGTTCATCAACTCTGACACACCCAACTCCAGCAAACATATGGACCCAGACAAATTGAGTGGGCTCTGGAGCCGTATTTCTCACTTGGTCCTGCCTGTCCAACCTGAAAATGCCCTGAAAAGTGGCATCTGCTTATAAAGGGTGACAGACGACAAAATCATGTCTCAAGTTCTGAGAATTTTTCAGACTTTCTAGCCAGAGATGGGATTCAGAGCTCTTTTTGAAAGAACTGGTTTCTTTTTAAAGGAAATTAAGTTCTTATCTAAACATAGAACATCTAAATCATTTATTCAACCTAAGTATCTGTTACTTGAGAGAATCCTTTCCCTGTTTCCATTGAGATCTGTGTTAATGATCTCTGAGGAGTATAAATTATATGCAGTCCCATAGAGGATCTGTTTAGGTTCGGGGTTGAAACATTATTGCTATGGTATGACCAGACCAGGTTGGGGGGGATTGGGCTCCTTCCTATGAATCCTCTCAATTTTTTAAGTTAGATTTTTCACAGAGTTTGCTATTAGTAAGGCAGCTCTCTAAATGCAACTGTGGGTTTTCCCATTTTGTTCTCTTTTACATCATTTAGGTGCGAGTTCCTTAGTCAGCTTCCCCTCATAGGAATAAGAGTAATGAAAGGTCACCTGAGTGTGTGTTTGGATTTTTTTTTTCCTTTGTTTTTGGAGGGCGGGAGAAGGGGGCTAGGGAAAAGAGAAATTGTGGAATAAGGAAGGAAAGGGAGAAAAAAAGTCTTCAAGATGAAATTTAAAATAAGCCACTGAGACTTAGGTCACTCAGGCATAGCCATATGAACTCCATTCTCAGTGAATTCTGTTGGGGTTTGTTTTTCACATGTCCTTTTTTTCCTTTAAGAAATTTTTGGTCCTCCCAAGGATTTTGAAGCATGTATATTACAAGGTTTAGCATATTTGTTCATTTGACTCTGAAGGGTGTGGTCAATTCAGAGCATTTTATTTTGGACATATCCTGAAGCCTTTGTTTTGAATTCAGAAAATATAGTTGCAGGAATTGGTAAACCATCAGTCAGCCAGGACTGTCTGTCCTGGACTGTCGAAGAAGGATTTGGTTTTCTGCGTGCAGTCTTAAGTCCTTTAATGACACTCTTATGACAAATGTAAAGATTTACTATGCACGTGATAAATTTTATTAAGAGTGCCTCAAGCCAAAAGGAAATGAACTTGACCATATGTGAAGAATGTTGAAATGTACTATTGTGCATTCCTGTACTACTGTTGCATTTCAGGTGTCACTTTGCTTCCGTAACTGAGCTTTCTCAAAATCTGTCGCCTGCGTTGTTTTCCTTAAAATCTTAAGATTCCGGATCTACCATGTTTTGTTTTTAAATGAAAATACTGTTTTTAGAATAAGAGAGGCAGTCATTGGCTTTACAATTTACCTTTTGAGGATCCCATGCCTGGTAGTGGAGTGTGGTCTGGTTTTTTCCAACTAGAACAACCACTGTTCATAAATTTATACCCTTTATTGAAATTTGCTCCTGACTGTCACAAGTCAGGCCATCTGATTTATAGAGGATTCTAAAACAAGAGTTTTTGAAAAGGCTTATTTTATACACATATATTATATGGAGAAACAAATGTTTTTATTAAATGTTTCGCTGACCAAAATAATTTTAAAGAAATTAATGTTACTTATACCTTTCAGGAAAAAATAATTGTAGCAGCTGATCTGTAAATGACTTTAGAAGCTATTTTAGTAATTTAAATAAATTTACTTTCTTGATTTGTACTCTGTGTTGTAAACTTAATGATTCATAAACCTTTTTTTTTTTTTCAGTTAATCCCTAGCGTTTTCTTTACACTTGAACAATTTTAGTAACTTCTGCTAAGAGAAAAAAAGGCCAAAGGACTGGAGCCATTCACAAATACATTGTTTAAAAATATAATCACCATGGTTTTCTGTTTCATGCTGGTATTTGAATTACCACTATATTGGAATTAACTTAGGTTTTCCTGACTTGGCAAAAGTATCTAAAGCAGTGTTTCTCAAATTTTTCCTTCTCACCTTGCTAAAGAGCCTTTTTAGATAATTTTTTTACTAATTGTCTACCCCCTTGAAATTCTAATACCACACATATACTATATATCTGTTTATGGACTATATTTTTGTCCTTTACACATAAGAAGAGTAAGATTTTTTGCCCTCCAAGAACCAGTATTTGTTGCCACTGAGAATGCATGCTCAAGAACATCTATCTATACTTAATTTATGTATGTATGTATGTATTTATGTACGTACTTATCTATTCATTAACTAGACTCCATGCCCAGCGTGGAGCCCAATGTCAGGCTTGAACTCAGAACCCTGAGATCAAGACCTGAGCTGAGATTAAGAATTGGACGCTTAACCGACTGAGCCACCCAGGCACCCTGAGAACATCTGTATTTTTGATGCTGCCTAAAACATCCTATTTTCGGTTTATGTTATTACCCTTTTGGAAGGGAAAATTTAATAAGTCATCAGCTTGAAAATAGGAGCTAGGGTTTCTAGAAATCAGGCACATTGTGACTTTGGGTGGCAACACTGGCCCAGGGAAAACCACAACACAGTACTGGTCTTACAGATTTCTAGAAACTTAATTTGCTTCTCTTCCTTTAATGACTTTCTTATATTATCTTTAGGGAAGTTTTCTAAACCTCCAATTCTCAAAACAAAGGTTGGAAGTAAACTTGATTTTCATTCTATGAAGAGAACTGTACTTGTTTGCATAGTTCATGCCATTAGTTAATGCCTAAAGATACAAAATCCAGTTTCCCTTTGATCTTAGGTCTTTGGAAAGTGGCCTTTATGTCCTATTGAACAGATAATGGACTATTCTGCTATACTGTCTCTATCAAGGTCATAGAGTAAGATCTTACAGAGGATTCTACTGGCATTAGCCACCTGGAAAGAAGATGTAAGTCCTGAGCTGGAAAACAAGCCGAGAAGGTTGCCATCGACTAAAAGGAAACTCCTGCCTTGAATATCTTTCTCTCTTTGGCCTAGGTTCAGAGAAGTCCTGGTTTGCTTGCAGGCAGGCTCTTGGGGATTGTAGGGAAGATAGCCTGCACCTGAGCATAAATAGGCAGCAACCTCTCACCGTTTACATATTGTACCCTTGTCTTTTGCCCATTCTTAGACACGTCTGGAATATTTCCTCCTTTCTTGCCCTCTCCCTTTCCCCAATTTTATGTTTTGCTAATTCTTACTTGTTTTTTCTTCAGGGCTCAGTTTTTTAGGCAGAACTTCACTGAAACCTTCACTAGTCTCCTTCCCCCAGTACTGATTTAGGTGCTCTCTTTTATGCTCTCATTCATCGTATATTCCCCCTGACAGAGCAGTCAGCTCACTCTGCACTACCGTATGCCTCTTGAGAGCAAGAGACTGTCATCAGTATACGCACAGTGGTAACCACAGACTGCTTAAATGCTTGCTGAATAAAAACTGCACACACTACCTAGTTAGCTAAAATAGGGAAGTTGCATCTTAGTACTTCACTTGCTTTTCCCTGTTATTCCTGAGCCTTTTTCTAAAGCTATATAACTACCTCAACCTCAATTCAGTAGTGCTATGAGTAATTTAAGGTAGAGGACTGATGCCATGGGATACTGGCACTTCTACTTCTTGTAGAAGCAAGGATTATTAGTGAGGGATCCCCAAGGGCAAGGTGAATGGTAAGAGACAAAACTGGGAGGCCATGAGGTCTTTACGCTGAGATCTGGAATTGGAGTTTTCTTTAAAAAGCAAGTTTCCTTACATCTCATATTGCCTAAGAGTGTAGTATAGTCCCAAATAAGAGATGGCTATAGGTGTGAAGAGAAGACTGATAAGAAAAAATACTTACGTAGAAATGACAACGTGTGGTTAAATTGAATATTAGGAAAAATACCTCGTAGAGGTCTTTTCAAAGGGTTGTACTACTAAAAATACCTCTTCATTCAATTTAGCCCCTGTATCTTCTCCCCCAAATACTGAGTACACAGTGGTAGACTAAACTCTTATCTCTGTATGTCTTTGTTGACTTTTAGCAGTTTGAAGTAGATAGACATGTATTTAGTCAGGAATTGTTTGATTGTAAAACACCCTGTCTAACCAGAAGAGAAAAGGAGGGGTGTGTGGGTGTTGTAAGAAAGCCTTTCAGCCTCCAAGACCAGAGACTGGGAACGAGAGGACTGTTGATTGACAGATCAGCTGCCATTCCCTCTGCCTCTCCACTTCTGGCTTGCTTCACCTTAGTAACCTCGCCTTTGTGACTTCACCATGTCAAGAGGATGAATTTGATTGGCTCAATCCAGTGTATGGATGATCCCTGAAAAGAATATATAATGAAACAAAGATGCCTAGGTCACTCCTTTAACACGGACCATGGGGTGGGAATGGGGAATGGCATTCTCCTGAAGTCAGGCCAACAAGTGGGCAGATACGGTTAAGGGACAACTAAAAACATCTTCAGACACTGAGAGGGGCGGAGCAAGATGGCAGAGGAGTAGGAGACCTAAATTTCGTCTCCTCTCAGGAATTCAGCTGGATAGGGATCAAACCATTCTGAACACCTACAAACTCAACAGGAGATC